GATTGAAATGTGGAGCTAGAAAATTTTATTTTGCTACCTTACGCCATTGAGATCCGGGTGATTAGAGGCAGCGTGAAAGTATATTATTCTTTTAAATCCACCCCTCGAAGATTATTGCTTGAAATACCACTAGCTATTAATTTCCAAAGAAGTTATTTGGGTCACCTCAAATTTTAATAACTTGTTTGAATTTTTTTAAGAACTCTTCTTTGCTATCGAAATTTCCTCCAAGTTCAAAAAACTGAAATCGAACTTCATGATTCAATGAATTGAAAATTATCTATTAAAGATGAGAATGTTTGGACTTAAATTTGAGAATATCAACGCAATGAATGGATTATTATTCGGTTATACTGGAATTCCTACTGAATGCTCAAGAATTTGTTTAGATAATATCCCTAATATGATTTATAACAAATGAAAAAATATATAAAATAGCATTTCAAATGCAGTAAGCTGTTAAATATGAGAAAAAACCTTCTTATCTCTAGGCCACAAGACCAAAAAGAATTTGTAGTGGCAAGATTGACTAGCGTGGTTAAAATAAGGATAATAAGCACGGAACCTTTGGCATATATGTCAAGAATTATTTATGGAATGATGCAAATCTTCAACGCCCAACCTCTCGTTTAAATTACGCAAGTATTACATAACTCAATGATAGATTTACTTTACTTCTATATAGATCACAGTCAGGCTTCAAATATAAATATGAACAAAATCACAATATATAGGATTAAATGAGTGATAAATGATTAGCCAATAATTTTAACAAGGATTTTTTCATAAGTGGTATCACAGGCCTGGATTTGATCGTGACAATCTAATAATCGATAATCTATTCATGGGACCTGTAGCATACACGTTTCACTCATGTGCAACAAAATGTTTCGATTAAGTTTCCCCGTACCCCCACCCACCTCCCACATCTTTTGAGTTTACATTTCCTCTAACGATTGATATTGAGTCAAGATTATGTGACATTGTTAACAAAAAGTTCGGGGAATTCAAGTCACCGCAATTCCATTTTGTTTCCTGATCTTGATATTTTCACTCAATGCTTGATGGTTCAGTTGCTTTAGAAAATTAGGTTAATTATTAGTGGTAGTAGGCACTTTGAAATTCATTTTCCTCCACGACGAAGTTTAGTAGTTTTTACTCTTTTTACTGGGAACTGGAGTTTGATGCATATTTAGTTGTCTGGTTGGTCAGATATCTTAAATTATTTGATACTGTCTAAGCCTAGGATATGCAAATTCACATCCTCAATCAAACAGTAATTTGATTTGGTGGTCTTCGTATAAGACTTTTAATTTTACTCGTCCCATGATTTCTTATGTCCTCTTTCGGCACAATGTTGACACCCATGTTAATTGAATAAATAAAACTAAGCGAAATGTCGAGCATTGCATATCAGCAAGTAAATAGAAGTCTTGTGCGATGACAAAATGTCCTTTTTGAGAATTTTGCAGACAACAACGGATTGAAGAACTCGTGTTTTTTTATTCATTTGCAGGACCTTTTAAATTAATATCGTGTCTTCCTCAGCGTTTCATCCGCTTTTACTCATTTACGAACTTTGAGGGGATGAAAATTCAGATCTCTTCCAAGAACTATGTCAGAATCTACATTTCCAAAATCCCGGGTAGAAATTTCACTTTGTTGCTGAAATTACTTTTGTAGATAACTTTTAAAATCCACTATTTGGAGAGATTCGAGAAAGTTGAATTTTTTCCCTGATCTTTAGAAAATTTATAGGCTTATATATCTTGCAGAGAAAAAGTGAAAGCATATCTCTAAAGTAGTTCAGTAATAATTCAAGAGCTATATGGAAAATATTCCATTAAGATTCCAAGTTGAATGTGTGGATTTAACTTTTTGTGTCCTCAGGGATCTCACTTCTGCAATTCCCAGAGCCTAATGGCCAGTGGACTTGAATTCAGTGGTTGATCAAGTCTTCTCAAATAGAGCTAAGCTGAAACATGTTCCGATATTTAAACATGGGAGATTGGAATGCGGAACAGTCCTTATTGAAGAAATTCTATCTTCAAAATAATCGATATAAAAATAATTAGACCAACTCTAAATGAATTGAGTCATCGAATTAGTAGACATATGCCACTTTTGATTGTCACTTTAAACATATTTAATTATGTTTAAATTTAAATATAATTTCGTTTTTCCACAAAGGACAATGTCAAAAGCTACATGAGCTCTCACCATGTTCCTCAAAAACTCCAAAACCGTGTTCTTCGGTGGTACGATTACGCCTGGGAAAGGTAAATTCCGCTCTTCTTTAATAAAGCTTAAAAGGACCTGAATTATTTCTTTTTTAAGATGTTTTTTACTTTATAAGTGCATATTAATGACTAAAATTGAATTTTAATTTAATGCTCAAAATAATTATACAGGGCACAACATTAACAATGCAAGAGAATTAAAACTTGGAAAGTCGTGATAAGCTAGTTTTCGTTTCGAGATTTGCACGATAAGGCAATAATAAAATTAGGAGAATACTTATAATTTATTGAGTATTTAGTTCTATTGTTCAACTGCAACTTTTAAATAAAGAGGAGTAAATTTCAGAAAATTTCTTTCCATCATTTCCTTGAAAATATTACATTTTGCTGAAATATCCTTTTTACTAAAATATGAAATAATTACAATTGGAGTTTAAGATTTATATTTTACAACATAGACTGATTTTCATAACCACTTTTGTATCGGATGTAAAGAGGGTCTGTTTTTCATGCCTGTTTTAAAGCTCCATTATTTTTAAACTTATTTGAATGAAAAGTATTATCGATATTTTGTATATGAAAGTAAGATATCCCATTAATATTATGTCTACAAAGATATTTAACAATTATTCTTACGATTTATAAAAGAGCATAGTCACCTTCGCAATAGCAACGACTATGTTAGTAAGCCCTAATTGGATTAAACTAAAATTTTTCCAAAATAAGTAACCAGGCAAATATCAAAAAAGGATTCATTTCGATTCAGCTTAAAATTTGAAATCAACATTAAATTGATTATATTAAATCTAATTATTCCTTACTTCACCAAGGTTTGGTTTTATGGAAAGTCATCATTTTTAAACCAATTTACCATTAAAAACAATTAATAGATACACTAAGCTTTCGAAACATCATTATATTCCGGTTGTGGAATCAATTATTTGCACAGTTGTCATCGTTCACATCTGCTAGTTCAGGAATCTAGAGTTCATTGTCCAGCAAATAACATCCAGTGTTGGGAGACCAAGTGTTTTCGATTAATTCAGTTCAAGAAAAGATAGAGAAGGACATGAATTTTCCGAAGATGTGGCTGCTGGACTAATTTCATTCTCCAAATTTACGCACAATGAACACTGCTTATAAATTTGAAATAACTTTGGCCACCTTAAATTAGAAAACCCAATTTTGCAGATTGATTGGAAGATCGATAATTATCTACTGTGTTGAGACGACAGCTATTGGTGAGTATAGAGCTTTGAAAAATGTAACGAAATCGAAGCCAGGTACTAGTAAACCATTCGTGTATATATTTATTGCTACTGTCATGCTATATTCGTTGCAAGCTCATTTTTCGCGCCTTATGAAAATACTTCAAACAATTTCACTAAGCTTGCCGAGTAGTATATTCATTTGATTTAGAATTTCTAATTAAAATCTAACTCCATAAAAGTCTGCTTTATAATTTAAAGGAGTTGGAGTAAATTATACCAACTACTGTAAATTGCAAGAAAATTTAATGATTTGCCTATTAGCATTTAGTTCGACATAATGAGAACATATATTCCGTGTTGTCTATTTAATTCCAAAATAATTAGAAGGCAAAATTGCAAAAATAGAACATGGATTTATGCACTTGCTGTTAAGTAAAAAATAACATTATTATAAATGTTTAAATAATTTTAAATATTCCTCTCAAGACAGTGCCATTCTCTTTTCTGTATTCTTTGATATTACATAGCACAATTAAAATAGTCTAAGTAGACATTATTTCATTTTGATTAGTAACTTAAAACTTGGAATTAATTAAAATAATTTGTAAATGTTACGGCGTAGTGACCTAATTTACGTACAGAGTAAACGAAATATTTAAACGAGTTGGTTCTGACAACTTACTTGTCAGAAATGAATTTTGCTAAAAAATAATAAGCCTGTCAAGCCAATCAAGGTTGAAAAATTGAATTTACGGGAAAATTTCATGCTTTCTAGGTACTAGTTGAATTTATATCGAGCTGTTTTAATTAGCATGCGTTCGAAAAATTTTTGTTGCTTTTATTGAAGAAATCCAATAGCATTTAAGAAACGGCGCCGAACTTCGAAGGCATGTTTGATGATTGTTCATAAAAGAGGTCAATTGGGTTGATTTCTCCATTAGAAGGCAAAATGTGTACATTAAATTGGCCTATTTCCCCATTTGTAAAGGCGTCGGTTATTTGGAGAAAACGATTTGAACTGCTTGGGACACCTCCCAGAAAAGCTCAAAACTGAACTTGCCCTTCATGTGCACTTGGAAACGCTCAAAAAGGTAAACATTGCGAACAAGGCAATTTCATTATAATATGAAAAACTTAAAATCGTTTCCAAATAATAACTCCATATATACATATATATGTCCGATAAACTTAAATTTTATTTTTTTTACAAAACCTAACTGCATAATAACAAATTCTAAATTAGTACACATCATATTCTAACGATTTATACATATACATTTGAAATATATTTTATTATTTAGCTATTTAATATAATATTCACTTAAAATAATTGAATAATCTAAATGGTTATTGATTATATGATTCGATTCGAATAATATACTCCAATCATTGATCGTGCTTGAATTAATTTGCTTTAAATGTACTTACTGATTGCCACATCGCATTTAACTGCTTTTAACTAAAGTCAAGGTAATGATTATATTTTTGCATCAAGGTCACCATATTCCATGAATGCAGACCAGAATTTCTGCATGACCTTGTACTCAAAATGCGACCCTACATTTTTACACCTGGTGACCTTATATGTCGAAAGGGAGAAGTGGCAAGGGAAATGTTTATCATAGCCGATGGAGTGTTGGAAGTAATTGGGTAAGTCCCTATTTGTATCTTTTAAGCAAAGACATACAATTTAACCAAAACTTTTACAACTAGGAAAAGGAATATGCAATAGATGTTAAAAGAACATTTCTTGCTCTTTATTATTTTGGTGATTAATGAAAGTTTCGGTCAGCTTTGAGCATGCTTTGCCCTCTGAAAAATGGTTTGAGAACAGAATACAGGTGTCTCAATATCTTGGAGATTAAAACCAGGTCTCAGAAAATCATACTCACTTTTAATATGATGTAAAACGAAAACAAATTTGGTTTGTCATTAGAATAGAATAATGGATACGGTTTATTGTTTGGCGTCATTCGTTTATTGGTCATTGCCTTTTATGGTAAAAATGAGTATGATGCGATTTTTAATTAGTTATTATGTATAATGACCACTACCATCAAAGAGTTTGATTTACCCTGAGATCATAATAAATTTTTATACGGTGCACAATAAATTCAGCGGTAAAATTGGGTTTTCGATTTAAAATAGAGTAATATATTCACGAAAATTATTCGTTTTAATCAAAACAAAATTTTTTTGTCGAGTCTTCAATCAAATAGTCAAAAGCTTAATTATATGCCTTATGCAAAGTGATGTTTCAATCAGGAAACTGTAGTTGTTTGATACAGTTTGAAACGGGAGGGGACACTGGAGAACGTAACTAGGTTTGTCGCCTCAACCAACGTCTAGTTGTGCTGAGATTTTTATTTTTATCTAAAAATCCTAGTTCAAAGAGCTGGAAGTTCATTTCATTTACCAGAAATTTCAGATTTTATTCATGATCTCTCCTTCACAGGATGATTATCTGTCCGTGATATTTACAGTTCTCTTATGAACCGACTAATTTTGGTGATCAATTATACCAATCTCATCCAAGAGCACCGTTGTTTAATCAACTCCCTTGAATTAATCTCGTCACCGGAATTTTTTTTAAAAATTGTTTTGCTTTCCTTAACACCATGAATAAAGGAGTTTTGAAGTTGAAATTCTCACGAATTGGGCGTTTTGGAAGGAGATATGACATATAGAGTTGGTTCATTTGAGTTGGATGTTATTTTGTAGCACCTAAAAACACGAAACGCTTGCAAATTATATATGTTTATATACTGGCATATTTATTTCCTGATGTTATTTTTTCTAATTTAATCATGTGCTATTTTCCCATGTTACCAAAGGGCAAAGTCATTTTCATCAATCACTTTGGGAAAGTGCTTTAATTGACCAATTTATACCTAAATGGATTAATTTATTTTGGCGTCAGTACCCACAACAAAGAGAAAAGGACTAAATTTCTTCAACCTCGAATTCATTTTATCTTAATCAGATCAGGAATATGATTAATTCATGATATATTTTCTCATACGGGAGGAAATCAGATCACAAGTAGTAATTAATCCAATAAAATTAATTTTTACGTCAGCATAACAAGTTTTGTTTTTTATTTTATTTGCATACACATTCATTGTAAGGAGCTTTGTGTAAAATGTTTTATTGAAGTATGATTTTTATGAATATCATATTTCCTAATTCTTATTGTCAGGAAATAATATTCAAATTTATTAGTTTATATTGTTATAATATTTATCTATTATATTATGGCGCATCCCGGAAATCTAAGGCTATTTTACTGACAAATAAATACCATTTTATGGATGAAAATGAAATGTTTATTTGCACAAATAGGTTTGAAATAATCTCAATATTCGTTTGACAGCTGAATGACATACATGAGTGAAATGTTTCATTTTTTTATGAAGAATTTGGTGGAAGCTAAACTTATTTTATCCAACAACACGAAGATACTTTTGCCTTTACCTAATTAAGCTAAATTCTTTTAGGGACCCATTGCCCACTTCTCACTCTGTGGTAAATAAATACATATTTTCCTTGGATATATTAAAAAGAACAAGATACCATCAGTTGATATTTATAGAATCGAAACAGATATTTTATTTTATATATTATCCATACCAGAATATATAAGATTTTTATTTGTTTATCTTTTGGTATGATTTAGGTTTGCAAAACAAATGAATTATACAAATATGCATAAATATTTGAAGGGAAGGGAAAATGTCGAGATGAAATATGAATATTAAATATTTTAGAATTTTAAATTCTCTAACTAAGTTTACTGAAGTGATTTGATGACCTTAATACTCGACGTCTGTCCACTTGTTACGATGGAAGAACTCACTGAAGTTTACTCAATTGGAATGACTACCACTTATCCGTCTTCCAGAACCAATTGATTGAGATTTTTCATCCCAAAGTGTGGATTAATTTTTTACTCTTTGGCATTCATAATTATAGAAATCACTAAAAAATTATTTAATTTGAAAAATTAAACTGTTCAATGAATATGAAAGCGCAGTGAGAAAAAAATACATACTATTCATTGAACATTTTCAGAAGTTCAAACATTTATGATGCAAGATGCACATTTTAACTTGAATTCCCTGAAATGATATACTGGTATTTATTTTCCTGTTTTTTTCATTAAATAATAATAAAATAAACAAATTTCTGGCATTTGTCACCCTCGAGACAAGACTAGATTGATTTGTATAACTGTTAATTGTATATTGAGAGAACAGAATCCCAACGCAATTTAACTTGGCAATCGCTTGCGTACTCAACCATTCTAAAAGTTTTGTTCGTGCATGCAGAGACTTTCTTAGCTAGTCAGTTATGTTAATTATATTAAATTTCTAATCCCATTTGCCGTGAGTATATTCTTAATAAACGCCAAATACGCTACATGACTGTTTTTTAAATATCGTTGAGATCGCTAAATTAAATAGATAAATTATATCTATATATCTTGATAATAATGAATTCATGAGTATTTTAAATCAATACCCATCTACTTTCATAGTTACCTTCTGTTCAAATCATGAGCAGTTCCCTTTTTTCCTAATTACATATATTTTTAGTAGATAAATTATAGCAAAGCGAATAAATTTTTAGATGTCCCATTGAGCTATCAGCACCATTCCCTGAATTTCTTGACTGAAAATGAGCACCTTAGCAACACCATCAAAGACGAAACACAAAGGTTTATTCTGGCTAAATTTAACTTAATGATTTTTTCAATGACTGAAAACTCCTGCAACATCGATGTTACGCGAGACCTTGAACACTGCTAGTTCAGTGATAAAAATTAATAAATAGGCTGAACGCACTCAAAAGTCGCACGCACGTAATTGGTGGAAATTAAGGTGGTTTTGCAATTAAATTTAGCACAGTCAAAATGGAGGAAACCCTCGTAAAACCTGGCAGAAGAACATATTAATCTATTAAAGAACAGCCAATAAGAAACTTGTCAGAATTTCATGGCTATTTTGTGGTCTAATTCCTTGTGTATTTAACCTATAATAATGGGGGTTATACTCCGTCTTTTTTCAGTTTAAAATTTTTATAACCAATGATACTTCGTTATTTGTGCTTTTATTCGATGTTAAATTAACGTTGGCTTTCAGTCTATTGTCTGATCAAAATACCCTAACGAATACCTATAAGGCAAAACAGCGCAACGTTATAAAATTATTGCTGAGTCAATTACATTAAATATTTCCAAATTACTATTCATTTCAATACTAGAGGGCCCATTCAATGGCACTTGCTATACAACAGACATTGTTTGTACTTGATCTCAATTCTCTTCTACCAAAAATAATTGTTGTTCAAAAATTTAAAATGCCATAATTAGTGCAGTTTTATTTTCAGTGTACAGAAAATGCATGGGAAGATCAATACTTTTTGAGAACCAGAATTTAATAACCATAAGCTATCAAATTGGTATCTATAAAATAATTTGACCAATAAAGCTAAAAGATTAATTAGTTTTATTATAGCCAACTCTTGTTATATGTATACGTATTACATCCCTAGAATTATAAATTGCATCTGCTAAATATTTAATAATTTATCATATGAAATATAAGAAATACTCGAACGAACCATTACAAATTAATAAATACGATTTGGATTTGCTAACTCCCTATAAGCTCATTAAATAGATTTATATTTTGGGGTATTTTGTTATTTTAAATAAATAATTGTGTATTAGGAACAAAACTTAATTATAATTTATGACTATTTGATTTCTATGACTATACCATGTTTCATTCCATGCTATTTCATTGAACGAGATAAGGAAATTGTTTATTATTATCAAATTGCTGCGTTAATTAGTTTTTTTCAGAAATAGAGCTTTTGTCGAAGAATGCAATCAGTAGTTATACACTATTACCAGCTGAAAATAGAAGTATGGAGATGCTGGTTTTCATTCAATGCCCTTTCAACACCGTATAAATATGAGAATAGCAACAGGGACTACGAGCAGCTGAGCTTAGAAGAAATCATCTTATTTCTAGGTTTTGACTAATTGCACTTCTACTGCAGGGTTTCTCAAAATTCTGCCGTAGAAAAGTATCGGAACACCCTGAAATCGCAATTTAAGCATTGTCGAGATAGTTAATTCGTTTATTCAATCTCTACTACGATGCTTGTACTCAATGAAGTCCTTCACTACCACAATTAGTTTGGAATTTCATACTCAATGCTCCCATAGATATCATCGTTTGAAAAAAACGAGGAAGTCTCTTAATAAAAAGAAAAAAAACATCTTTTTGCTAAACCATAAACAATCTGGTTATTTTCATATGAGAAAAAACTTATTAATGAATTAATGAATGAAAAAGTCAACAAGTCGAATGACATCGGACTTGCATATTCCCTGAATAACATTTTTCGGGTCACGCGGCTAAATTTCTCCTAACTCTCATGATTAAAATTGCAAAATCAGCCTGTCCTAGATTCCATAGTGAGGTTGTAATAGAAGCTGTTAACGATATTTTAAGCTAACTTATTTAACCAAAGAGCAATTTTCTCGTCTGCTTAATTTCCTTTAAATCTATTAAAATATGATGCCATGGGCCAATTTTTCTTTTATTGAAGAGACCACCAAATTAAAACCGAGGACTCAGATTTCCAGCTTTACGCTGAATGGGCTAGTATTTCTTTGATTTTCTACTTATATAACATATCAGTAAATTCAGGTTCTATTTTTTTTTAATTTTTTGCCATGAAGTTATTTGTACACTTCTGGATAAAATCGCTCCTTTTGCATCACAGTAGAATGATTTGTAATACATGGAGTTCATGATTTTGCTATTCTTTTGCATTCAGTTAATTATGAAAAGTCCATAAAAATGCTTACATAGCTGATAAAAGTTTAGGGACATTTTGCTATATCTCAATTCTGAGATCTGAAATACTTAGACTAATAATCAAAAGATTCAATTTCAAATCTAATTGATGTCAATGTGTCAAGATATAGATCGTGATATGGGTAGACTTTTTCCTTAGCCCAAAAAGGTTTGCATGATTTGCAAGTCAGAGAGTGATATTATAGTTTAATTTAAAATGAAAGAAAAAGCTCAACTTCTAAAATATCAGTAAAATATAAAGGGCAAAGTTGTGCTGCTCTCGCTAGTTGCCAATCTATGAAACTCAATCAAAATTTTACCAAAACATTATAAGCCATTGAAATAAAGTATTTGAATTTACAACACCTTCAGAATGAAGCTTATTTCCAAGTAGTTAACCTTTCTATAAAAATCAGTAAGTTCGAATTCAGAAAAGGTTACTGAAGATTTGCCATTTTTATGCCACAATAATAGTTTATTTATCATTAAATGGTTTCTATGATCGAAAATAAAAGTGAGAATGCTTTAAATGAATAATGTTATTGAGGATTGTGAAAGAACGAAATAATTATTTTGCTCATTTTAATTGTAGAAAGGGTGGAATAGTGATCAAGCGACTCGAAGCGGGTGATTACTTTGGTGAAATCGGAATTCTTTGTGTCAGTGGTGGCGGAAATAAGTGCGTTCTTTTGCCTTTGATATGTAAAAAAGTATTCATTTTATACGTTGTAATTACATCTTTCCTAAAAAGACGAACAGCTGATGTGAGAGCGGTGGGCTACGCCGAATTATTTGTTCTTTCACGTGAGGATGTTCTCAGCGCTCTTACTGACCATCCAGATGCCCATGTACGTCTACATGTTCTTCATTAATTTCTGTTAGTTATATGATGACTAATTACTTCCAAAAACAGTCGTGTAATATACTGTTTAAAGAAAAAGGAATAACCTCTCTCTCCAAATCATCATGTATGCGACTCTCATCGATTAGCACATATCACGTGTGATTGGTCATTTCGTAGATTCTCATACTTGAGGAGCAAAAAAAGGTTTCAAATAAAAATGAAACAATTGATATTGATTAAATGTGAAGCCGATGATAAATTTCATACAGCCTGCCATTTGAAATAATTATATTGATTAAATGTTTGCATTTCTAATCTATAACCTAAAAGTAATTTGTCGTCAGATGAGTAATGGAAAGGAGAATTCAAACTGTTTTTCCCTTCCTATTAACCTGATCTATTTAATGCGGTTGGTCCCAATGTCATTGAACAAGTTCATAGTCAAGAATAATAAATGCGTCGATGCTCATTGCGAATTTTAAGTTATAAATTAATTCAATTCAAAATGTTTGCCTTGAAATATTTGCAACGTCAAATATGGCCCATATTAAACCCATAGCCAATCAAATTTGAAGAGGAAAAGGACTCAAAGGAATTTTTCTTATTAACACAATACGTCCACATAGACTAAAAAAGAGAAGAGTGATTGGTTCCTATGCCAGCCAATAATTGCAGTAAGGCTTATTCACCGACGGTTTTACTTGTTCAGGTGTGAGAGTGGAAATCAATAATCGATAATACATTCATAAGAGATGTAGCTCTTATAAACGGTATTTGAATATTGTTAGCATCAGAGAGACACAGTTTTTTTTCATTTGGACTGATCATAAGAATTGGCAGAGGACGTCTGAATTTCTTAATTTGTTCACCCAAAAAATGTAGTGATGATATTTTCAAACTCTCGCGGCGTTGCCGTGTGTCATATTTACCTCTCTGATAGTAAGAGCAACATGTATTTTAACCTAAAAAAGCACATACTCAATTATTTGGCAAGTATTTTTAATGCATCAATTGGCTTAAAGCAGTTGTTAATCTGATCATATATTAAAATTTATTTTTCTACCCATTTACCGTTAAAATAAATAATGAGTTAATGATATTATATAAAATTCTTTGGTAAAATTAACTATTTCCATACTTAACAATAATTTATTCATTAAAAAGGAGATTTTATCAAACAGTCATTTTGTTTAAACCAGAGTGACCCCTAAAACCATCACTGCTTCAAGTTTTGATATATCAAATTGGTGGAGAGAACTAAATGAAATTAGTATTTCGGTTTTAAGGGCCCCTCATCAGTACTTACAAAAACCAGGAATTCGCATTTGGTTTGATTTATAAGATGAGTTTGAAGATTGGTTTGGCTTGATTTTACCTTTAGGCCATCATAATGGAGCATGCAACTCAGCGCCTGATAGAATCGAAGAGTCGTGAAGACGCTCAGGTAAGCATCCAATATATGACGAGATATATCCTAGGTTTCTTCTTCAAATAAACAAAACACCGATGCTGCACTAAGTGGTATGTGATTTTCGACTTTATTGTTTTCATAACTATACTATGAAAGTGGTTTGAAAGCCGGCCTCTATCAGCACAAAAATAATGGCCCAAACATCCACGTTGATTGAAAAATAGTATTTTAATAAATGCATACGTAAATTCATAAACTTACAAGCAACATCGAAGCACAATTAATTTGAGCTCTCTTTTACGGTTTCAATCAATTATTGTTAGCGTAAGTGCCGGACATACATGGGGACCAGATGCACCCGATGGTTTCAACAAACTATTTATATCAAATGACAGGCTTTATGATAGTTATCATTAGCCTTTAAGTTGATTTCAGGCTTTGCAGAGAGAGAGGAACATCAAATCGAAAAAAGTCGGGAGGGGGGGGGGACAGAAGAGTGTTTTAAAGATGTCAAAGAGACAGACACAAGGGTAGATGAAAGGTGAGGTGAGTATCGTGTAAGTAGCCGAATATGACATACAATGGGGTGATGGTAATTTGAAGTGAGAAGTCAACTGCCGGTTTAAACACTTTTTTGTTGCATGAGTATACGTTGCCCAGGGTGTTCCACGTGGAGGTAAGTCCATCGCACACCCCTCAACAAAATATAATTAGCCAATGACAAATGCACGGGCTTTGGTGCCACTGAAGGGATCTCGAATATTTAATTTCGAATGTGCCTATTTCCTCAGAGTTAACTTTAAATTATTATCGAAAGTACAAAAATTTATATCAAAACGTGATGTCTGTTTGATCAAGTGATTTGTTCTAGGATGGTGCACACCTCGTTTTCTTGCCATAGGAATCAGTTTCGGTCCTTAGCGCCTTCTATATTTGATTCATTTACTAATGCTAACTTTGATTTCGAATCGGATTTAAGGCTCTTGGAGGCAAATTGACACGAGATGTTAGTCTTGAGACAATTAAATGTCGTATTTGCGCACTTATATTCCTCGAATTACACTGATTTAAATAATTTGATGGCAACACATTTCCCATCACGTTGACAGCTTTACCACAGACTGCAGATGCCTCCCATATCCAGACAAAGTACGAAAGGACTCAGCTTCCGGCTTGTCAATTTTTTTGCAACCACAGACGTCAGCAATTATAAGTTTGACAAGCTTAAATGGAATTAAGAAGTAAAATATAAACATGATCTTTTACTTAAAATAAATAACACTCTTTATTAATGGGAGGTACAATTTAATAGCAAAAATAATAATGATCGGATATTTTCAGTCATATTATTGAAAATATCTTTCTTTGTTTAGTGGCTAAAATTTTTCATTGCTTATTTTCCGTTAATTGCTAACGTTTTAATTATACTTACGACAAAAAATTTTTAGTTACCTACAATTTTGGATGTAATTCATATTGCACCATAACTTTGTGTAACATAAATTATTATCTTGTCTGTTTCATTTTTATTGAAAATATTGGGGCTATGTAATTGTGTGTGGGTGTGTTTTGATTAAAATAACCACCCATATTAATTTAAATGTATGTGTTTAGTTTCACTATTTCATTTAGTTTGATTAATTATGAATTATTCCGACGAAGAGTACGTTGGATAGCAGATCCATAAGGAACGTGTAAAATGACCTTCTTTTAATGAGTAAAGCTAAGTTTTTTCCTATGCCATCTTTGCTAAATTCTGCTTAAGCAATCATTCATATTATATTGGAATATTGGCAAATTAGTTTCAAGTGGAATCTTTAAGTAAGTAACAAACCAAATATATGCAAATAGATTTGAACAAACGGCGAATATAACGCTGAAAACGTTTGACAGGTGTACAATTAAAAGCATTACAAATAATTAAATAGTCGGTGTAAAAGCATTGCGCAGAATAACAAGACCTGCATAACCTACCACTTCCAGGTTTAGATTAAGCTCCTCCAATATTTATTTAACTCTTTTCGCACCATTTTTAATTAATTTCTGCAATAATTCTGGATAAAGCTTTCAAAATTTATTGTCATGGAATGGTATATGAACACGCTATAGTGCAAAAGTGCAGTAAGTGTTGAAATTTAGAAGAAAAGGGTGTCAGAATATTAAAATCTTTTGGAAATTTGAACTATGGACACGAGAATTTTCTTCGGTACAGTCTTGAGCCTAATTTTCATCGTTTATTTCCTGGGTTACCCCCATATTTCGAGCTTCAGTTATCATTTGATTAAATTGAATGATTAATCAAGCTGTACTGGTTAATTCATATTTTCTTAGAGCCGTAAGTATGATTTGAGATTAGCGAAAGCATTTAAAAATAATAAATCCCATTGGATACCAACCAAATCGAACTTGAATAATACGCCAATAATACGTTTGTTATTTGGCATTGCGTCAAATAGTGCAGTATAAACCAAATTAATTGTATTTGCAATATTATATTATTAGAAGCACTAACATTTTTCATGCAATATCACATAAAAGCAACTTAGTTCGATAAAAATGCATGTGCTTATTTTCATTAAAAATATATCATGCCTTTTATTCACACTATTGAAAGTTGCCGAAAAATGCATTAGACAATATCAAAGAATTTTAATAATGAAATATATATATATATATAGTTTGATTTAGTAATAGAGCTTCGAAAATTGTTGATAATTGAGTTTGATAGACTAGAAAATAGGAAAACTGCTAGAAGTGCCTTTGAAAGATGAAGTACTACTATCTATTCATTTAAATAATTAAATTAAATAGCGTCCGCTATCTTACTGAATAAATTTACACCAGTAACTATAAGTTATAATATTAATTTACTAACTGTTGATTGGTTTCATCCTAGCATATTCTTGCTTTTTTCAATTAACATTATGAAATAATGCCAATTAAGTGTTTCTAAAATAGAGATGTGTAACGAAGTCGGCAAGTTCAGCTTCTGAAAGCCTGGATTGATTGGGGCTCTCGCAATAAACTGTATTGGCAACAGTGCCCCCTCAAGACAACAGAGTGGAATGACCGCATCTGAGATACTTTAGGGATGCACCCAGTTACGTTTTCTGTTCCTTCATCTTTTAATTGGTGCCAAATCGGTTGGGACAATTAATTTTTACCTTTGTAACGCTTGGAGAACCATGTTCTCAGATTTAGAAGAACGAATATATATATATATATATATATATATATATATATAT